TTACTGTTATGATTAATTGGTTATTACTTCTGGCTATACAAAATGAAGGCATTAGTGAAATGAACTGACGTGTCCTTAATCATAAATAGTCCAAGAATTGACTCCTCTTGTCTGGTTTTTTAATAATGCTTGCAATAATTTTTTTTTAAAAAAAAGTTAACCTGGCTAAGACACTATCTATGTAATTGTTGTGTACTAGTAATTAAAATAACTCAATTTTTTATTTTATTATTTTTATTTATATTTTCAATTTTAATTTCAATTAAAAAAAGTGTAACATTAATTTTTTTTTTAGATTTTAGCGTGAAAATAAGTGTAAGGGATACATGGACCTAAAAATATCTTTTTGAGTAAATTACTAATTTCGATCTCTCAATTCATTTGGTAGGTGGCATTGTCCATTTAATTCAATATAGTTGATGTGAAGTGCAAGGACGAAGTTAGCTAACTTTTGTTGAAAGGGTCAAACATTGAAAAATAAAGGTTATAAATTTTAAAAATTAATATATTAAATTTAATTAATAATCAAAATATTGATAATAAAAATGTAAAATTATATTGTATAGAATATAAATATACAGTTAAATACGATATATAAGATTAATATTTTTTTCTTATATAATCAAGATTGTTTAAAAATTATATATTTAAGATAATTTTATTTTAACTAAGTTTGGAGATATGTTGGTCTAAAGGTTATAAGAAAGTACAAGTGGAAAGAGATTGCTCCTAGCATTACAGAAAATACAAAACAAGGAAAACGATCTAGAGCCAAATATCCAGTTATTACAATACAGTTATTTCACAAGGAATGAGAATGCCACTTATCTTATATACATCCGATTGGATGGTCACTCATTACAATAATTTAAGCATAGGATTACAAGTTTATGATGTTTCCTTTGTAAACATTTCTTATTTATTACTAGTAGACTCTTTAGGTGTCCAATGGCTTAAGATGTTATTTTAAACAAATTCAATAAAATTTATGTTCATATAAAAAAAAGTAAATAAAAAAATATATTAAAATCAATATTAAAAAAAATGATACATTGATAAAATTTTAAGTAACAAAGTAACATTATAATTTATATTTAAAAATTATAAAATAATTTATTAAAGTTTAAAAATTAAAATAATTAAAAATAAATTCTACGAATAAAAAATATGACAAGTAGAAGATAAATACTACATTTGACATAATAAAAAAATATATATATATAATGTATGATTTGTAAAAATTAAAAAAAAAATCTACAAAAATTTTGAATATATGAATAAATAAAATAAAAATAAAAATAAATAATAATATAAATTAAAAAATGAATATTAAGTGTGATGTATAAAATTATTTTATTATTTTATTATTTATATTAACTATTAAATAAAATTTACTTCAGAAAAATCATTAACAAAATATATGAAAAATTTTAAAAATTTGGGGGCCATGTCCCGCGTCACTTCATCAGTTAAGGGGACTCCGCCACTGGTAACATGTCGTGTCAAACAGCGGATAACTTTTAATAACTGAGTAACTCAAACATTAAATTTTATTATTTTTAGGTAAGCAAGCCGTCATTTCAAACTTAAATGATTACAATAAAAATTTTGGAATTAAATGATCAAATTAATAATTTGCTCTACTTGTTTTATAAGTAAGAGGTAAAAGATTAACTTCGCTTCATGAATAGCTCGACAAACTTTGGTTTTGCTTAAATATGCACCTATGTCATTTTTACGTTACACTTTCGTTCCGGTTACTTTCGCTCATTTTTAACCAGTTACTAAATGTTCTCACTCTCTTGTTTACTTTCTCTTTGTCTATAAAAAATTTTAAGACAAGTTTCATATAAGATTTTGCTATACAGCTAAATAATTTTAAAAATTATTGCTAAATAGAGACTGTCCACAAAAGATAAAGCTTCAAAACATTTTCTGAACATATGCAATGCATTCATATGTATGCTGATTAAAATATTTTCATCAAGATAATTAAACCACAATATATTAAGGGCAAATTAATTGAGAATTTATGTACAAAAAGAATATTCTCTATTCAAATCCCTTTTACCGTTTTTAGAAAATCACGTGGAGGATATTAACGTTTTTATAATGCAAATTTTTTTATAACCATATCATGTATCTAAATTAAGTTTTGTGTTATACATAAACGAACTTCATAATGCAAAGTAGGTCATTACTCTTTAAGCATAAGCTTTCTTCATTCAATTTTCTTTTGAAGGATATATATTAATTTGGGTAATAAGAGAAGTCTATCGTACACAAAAGATTTTAGAATTGATCTTATAATGTTATTATATTTGGAGAGCAATGTTAAAAACATTATATGAATCAAAAGGAATAGCCTTACATCTTAGGTTTGAACCGGGTCATTGCGTTGCTTCGGAACACTTAGGAACCCAAACACATTTAAGATATCATACCAACAACAGACAAGATGATTTATTTCTTTAAGTTACTGTGTTTTGCACAAGCTATAATTACTCTGACCAAAACTTTGGAGTAAAACAGAGGAAATTGTACAAGATCTCACCAAATTCTGCAAAACTCACATTTTATTAGATCCTAGAGCATTGTCTCAGAAAATATCTGGGATAAGATTTGGGAAATCCTATGATAGCAATCAATTCAAGCAGATGCAAATGCTATTAGCAGCCATTAGAATTCCCACCAAAACTTGGGGGTAAAAGTCGAGGAAATTTGATGAGGGTCCAATCAATTTCTCCAAGTTATAGTGCTAGTAGTCATTATTGGTCTCACCAAAACTTGTGGTAAGAACATGGGTATGCTTGGGTTGTTGCATGAATTATTTTTGCCTTCGTAAAAGGGAAAGGCCACTTGAGTAAGTTCACACTGAAGCGGTATTGTACCAGAGCGAGTGATAGTCTATTGGTTACAAGGAAGTCTTGGTTTGTTTGGTTGCATTATAAAGGCAAAAAAAGAAATATGGCCTTTTCTATTTGTTGAAAGTGGGCAGGAGGGTGTGTGTCAGGGAAGTGCACTCTGAGAAAAAGGACTGTTCACTCTCTGTTTTCTCTGCCCCAAAACACATGACCCTCTCTCTCCTTTCTTTCTTTGCTGATATCTCAACTAACGGAGCGTTTCATTCATTAACCCAACATATTTCCTTGAACACATCTCTTTCCATATTGTCACAGTCATCTTTTTCTTGTGAAGCATTTCTTGACAGTGTGGGTGCAGCTACTCAGACATGGTAGGTCTAATAAAGCTCACCTGGGAAAGTTTTTGGAGGTTTTTGACTGAGAACCAGTCACCAGACCTCTATGAATGAGTCAGTGATAAGCTGTGTGTTCCCAACTTCCAAATCACAGTATATCATTTTAACTACTGCTATCATTACTCACCAAACTTATAAAAACTCCCTCTAATTATTAAATTATTTAACCATGACTTCTCTCTTGCCAACCTTGATGCTGCTTCAGTGTCTCTCTTTACAGTCAAATTAAGTGACAGCGGGACATAACTTTCTTTCTTTCTGTCTCTCCCACTTGTTTGTTTTTGGCAAATTACAAGTGTGTCCTTTTTGCCATTCCTCGATTATGAACAAATGTGTCACGTCATTGCCTCTGCGAAAGAAAGAGATTGGCCTTCTTAAGCATATTTTGGATTTCATGTACTCTTATGGACTCGACTGTTGGGTCAGGACCAATCTATTGGGCTAAAGAGTAATTCATCATATTCCTCATCGTAAATTTTCAATTAAAAGATCGAAAATTGTATTTTTAAATGCTAACATCATTTGACTATCAATATATTTGTTTGCTGATTACCAAAATAATATCTGTCCTCATTTTAACTCATTAATTAATTGGTTTCCACAGTATCCCAACCTAGGATTAAAGCAGTCAATTTGTCTTCAAATTCTTTTTATAAAAAAAAAAGAAAAACAGAATTATCTCCTTCTCACTATGACTAAATGTATATATTTTACTAATACACTTGTATTTTATAATATCTTGTTTTTTATTTGGCTTGATTGTGAGCATCGGACATAAGGAAATTTAGAATTACTTATGTAGACAGTAGACAGCGAAATTAATTATTCAGACATTAATTGAGGCAGATGAAGTAGTAAAGGTCCTGATAATTTGACCCGTGGCAACTTCTGCCTAGGGAAACTAGCCCTAAGGGAATCCACACAATAGTTTCATGGTCGCGATTTGAATGACAGCAAGGCGCTGTTTAATAACCTTTTAGGCATTTAGCTGTCACGATGTCTTCTTATGAGTCCCCCTTGGGCTCTTTTGCCATGTGACTTTGGACCACGTCATGCTAAATTCCCTCTCTATACCTGATTTTTCAAAATAATATGTCCATTTTAATTTTTGGGAATTTATTCCTACTTAGATGCATGGAATTAATGCAAACAAACACTTATCTTAATTGCTATCAACTTGCTATAGTGATATATTTTAACTTACTAGTATTACATTTTATTTAATTGCAACTTACTAGTATTACATTTACTAATTGAATAGGCTAATCTTTGTCATCAATGTAGTATTTACTACAAAATGAGAAGGTTTGAAAAGCATTAACAACATGTAATACCTCACATCTTATATTTTATGTGAATGTGATTATTAAGATTTATATAACAATTTAAGTCTATTACTATTAAAAATTTAAATTTAAATTTTTAAGAATCACATGGGTTAAATTAAAAAAATTATTAAATTAATTTTTAAACTTAGATCATTATAAATGATATCAAAGTTTGCGTCAATTCAATTTGAGAGGAACCAATGCTCGGGCTTGGACTTAAATTGTTACACAATGCAAAAACTTGTGGTCCTCTTCTTCATTCATTTTGTCTCCTTCATCAACATGGGCATATCGTTACCAAATTGCACCATTGTATTCCGTTTGTGAGCAAAAGTTTCTATATATCTTTATCCAAAGCCCCTAAAAGAAAAGCATACTACCATAAGGAAAAAAAAAACAGTTCCCCACTAAAAATGCTTCACATCCTCTCCCTCCTCTCCCTCCTCTGCACTTCAGCTACTGCCCTGGTGCAGGACTTTTGCGTTGCAAACTTGAAGGGAGCAGAAACCCCTCCTGGCTATGCTTCTAAAAAGGCTGCCAAAGTCACAGCTGACGACTTCGTGTTTACGGGCCTAGGCCTGAAGGAAACACCACAAACATTATCAAAGCTGCGGTCAGCCCTGCATTTGTGGCACAATTTCCAGGGTTAAATGGGCTAGGCCTGTCTGCAGCACTGTTGGACGTGGCTGTAGGCGGTGTAATCCCAATGCACACTCACCCTGCTGCAACCTAGCTTCTGTATGTGGTGCACGGTCACATTACTGCAGGGTTCATTTCTTCAGCTAATAGTGTTTACTTGAAGACACTGAAAAGGGGAGATATGATCGTTTTTCCTCAAGGTTGTTGCATTTTCAAATAAATTCTGGTAAGAGACCAGGGCTCGATCTTGTTAGTTTCAACAGCCCAAACCCTGGTCTCCAGATCCTCGATTTTGCTCTGTTTGCCAATGATTTGCCTTCTGACTTGGTGGAGACAACCACATTCCGTGATGACGCTCAAGTGAAGAAGCTTAAGGGTGTTCCTGGTGGTACCAACTAGGCATTACAAGGAAATATTAATTTTTCCTTCAACATTTCTGAATTTAATTTGTAGCGATGTCATTTTATGGAGTTCTATGTTTGTGTTTTCAATTCATGTACCTGTTTCGTTTAAATTATTAAATAAATTATCATATTTTCGATAAGAAGATAATCAAATATTTCTATGCATACAAACGCCAAAGAGGGAAAGAAAATAAAAGATCATGTCGATCGTTTGCTTGAGGCTGCTTTCTTGCGGTCTCAAGCTTATTCAATATTCTATTACTACATGACATTGATAGAACAAAGACGGATTCACAAGTGCAACGGCTATAGAAGATAAATGCATCCTTGAGGAATATAGTGTGCAATTCATGCCTGTAATGAAGCCCTAATTAAGACTCTCATGTGCTTATAATTTTTTTATTAGAAAAGTAAATATATTTATTATTAAATTAAATATTCGAACGTATATCCTATTTATGAAAAAGTAAAAAAACCGACTGCTAGCAACATCGGCTATTCTAAAAAATGATAATGTTATCTATTTTCCTATGGTTGAGACCTCTTTGCATGTCAACGTAACACTTAGCTAGCTAGCTTTTTTCTTCTTTTTGGTCATTAGTTGTATTTTTCATTCTTATTATAGCTGGTCCCAAAAGCTATAAATATATATATATATATATATATATATATATCTGTTTCTAATTTTTTAGTACAAAATTAAAATACCTACTTTTTATAATTTTAACTTATATATATCCACTTTGCATGTCGATCATCAACAAACACACACACATATACATTGTCAGTGTAATTTTAGTTGTTTTAGAAATTTCATTCGCCCCTCGTAACTTTATTTTTCCTGAAAAAATAACCACAGAGAAAAACAATACAATATTAGAAAAACCATAAAATAGAGCCTAAAGGGAGAAAAGTTTGCAAGTAACTTTGAATTGGGTATCTCTTCATTGCCACGTATACGTGTCCATGGGTTAATTCTAGGTCTAAAATCTAAAAGGAGTGACTTCCGAATATATATAATCTAAAGAGCCATAACTAGATACAAAGATCAACTCAAAGTACAAGACAAGAATTCAGTTGCTGTCAACTTCTGAAATTACTTTAGAGGACATATTAATAATCAACAAATTAATACTGATAAATTGACTCCCTAAAGGATTTGATTGGCCGGCAAAATTATCTCTCCGTTGCACCAAAAATAGGAATCATTCATAATTTCTGTGCTATTTACATTTAAGTGAGAAAAGGAGACCCAGAACATTGAAAGTTTGAAGCTTTTCTAATTTTTAATGCCCTTTATGTTAGTAAACGTATAAGCTCTTTGCATCGATCCATTGCTTACCGGCCAATCCATGCTATTATTCTTATGCAGTCCTTGAGTACATTAGCTTTTAAAATTGACAAGTTATCCCCATACTTTGGTATAACATATTAAAGTTTCATTATATATATAGAGCTATTTGGTGTAACATATTCATGGTTATGACATCTTGGCATATCTGCCCAAAAAGTCTCTAACCAATTCAGTAAGCAATGCATTCGCTCTTATGATACCATCCCCTCCCTCAATACCATAATTTTGTAGCTATCCTTCATTGCCTTACCTTTTTTTTTTATTTTGTCAAGGTCCAAATTAATGAAAATCGACAACAGCTCAAACATTGGATTTCCATCCAAATCTCGCCACCAGCAGTCATCTATACCAGGATCAGGTGGCTTCCTCTTTCGCTTAAGTATTTAGTTATATACAGTCGCATTTATGCAGAATTAGGAGTGAATCACATCGCAAACAGTCCAAGCCGGAGGTTCAAGCTGCTTTTGAGTTGAGCATCAGAGGCATCTCCCACATCTTTGGTGCATTAAGCATCGGCGCGATGATAGTTACAAGTAAGTATGACAGCATTTGCATATATCAGACAAAGACTCTGCATTCGTTGACTCTTGCTGCACGTGCAATAGGTTCGTTAAATTTTTTTTTTTTGCTAAATGAGCCTCTTGAACATTTCAATAATACTGTTGGTCTTATGTTTTTTGCATCTATCATGGTATCTCTGTAAGCCTGTATAATCCTCTTTGGTTAAGCTAAATATCTCACCTGGAAATCAATTATTTTTAACCAAATCGTTTTGTTAATTACCATAACTAAATGAAATGTAAATTCATTGTATATAAAAATCACAGGGGGAACAAAAACAAGTCGATTCTTATCTGTTGTGCTCTATATTTGAGCATAACAACTCAGAATCATCTTAAAAAGACCTGTACAATTGACAAAAGTTTTCAAAGTTCTCTGTAGATGGTCAAAAACACTATAACAGACCTTCCTATTACTAACCCTACCACTTTACCAAAAATACATAGTGTCCCTGCCCAACACATGAGTGCTCGAGCACATTAAAAAGATATCCATTTGACTTTTAACATTTGTTTTAATTTGCAGTTGCAATCGCTCTGCTTTTCGTAGAGATCAAGGATGCAGCATTTCTGAAAACGTTGTCAGAGGTTATGCTATCCCTTTGGCTCAAATGGGAACTCCGAGCAATGGTTGTACTCAGCCTAACTGTTCAACTCATACTGATAAGATATGGGAATAGGCGAAAATTCAGCGGCAAAAATTTGAAACTCGTCTCATTCCTTGTTTGGACAATGTACCTGTTTGCAGATTGGTTAGCAACGGTTGCCCTGGGTACCCTTCTTAGGACCAGACGGGAACAAATAACCAGCCCACTAGTTATATTTTGGACCCCATTCCTACTCTTGCATCTTGGTGGCCCGGATACCATCACTGCTTACTCCTTGTCTGACAATGAGCTGTGGCCTAGACATTTCTTCGGGCTATGCTTCCAGGTTGGAGTTGCTCTCTATGTGTATGTCAAGTTTTGGACCCTAACCGTAACTGTGCTCACGATTATGGCCATTCCAATATTCATTGTTGGAATTATCAAGTACGGGGAGAGGGTTTGGGCTCTGTTCTCAGCCTGTAACATGCAGATTAGGAAGTCTGTATTCTCTACTTCCGATGCCAAAAGTTTCGAGCTTGAAATTGACCTTCTACAGGGCCCTTCAAAAGGGGACATAAAGCTGGAGGAATATTTAAATCACAGACAGATTAAGGACAAATACAGGTATCTTCATCGAGCTTTTTTGTTATTCCAGGTGTTTAGGCCCTTATTTTCGGACCTCAAGCTCAGAATTTACAATCATTTAAGTTACATTTTTGAGTTGGGGAACGTGTCTGCAGAAGAAGCATTCAAAATGGTAGAGATTGAACTTGGTTTCTTGTATGATTTGCTCTACACAAAGATTCCTATAGTTATTTCTCGAATTGGTGTGATTCTCCGCTGCATTTGTTTGTCATTGACCGTTTCCACACTAATTTCCTTCTTGATCATCGTTGGTAAGCATGGCTACTCCAAAGTTGACATTGGCATATCCTACTTGTTAATGGTTGGAGCTATCTTCATTGAAATCTATTCAGCCATTCTTCATCTTAGTTCTGACCGCGGCATTCTCTGGTTTACAAGTCAAAATAACAGGTTTCTTAAGGCCACTGGCTCTAAGTTAGTTCTTTTGACTAAAGCCAAGAAAGGAATACGAAAAATGGCACAGCACAGCCTGCTAGGTTACTGCCTCCAGCCTAGGAAAAGCAAGCTTGCTGCAGTTCTCAGCATATTTGATCCGGAGGACAAATTGGAAAAGTACTTCCATACTAGCTGGAAGGATGTGAATCCTGATTTGAAAACAATCATTTACTCTCATCTGAAAGAAAAACGAGACCAATATGAGCTTTCTGGTTTCGACCATCTGTCAGATTTGTTGGATAACAGAGGTTCCGTTGTGCTTAAAAAAAAAGGAATTGCTGATGACTTTGGTTGGAGTGTAACTGATGTAGAATTTACCCACAGTCTCCTCTTATGGCATATTGCTACGGATGTTTTTTTCCATGATGATCGTCAAAGATATCGAACCGGTGACCTCGGTCCATATTGCCACCTCAGTAAGCTTTTATCTGATTACATGATGTATCTCCTCTTTCTGTGTCCAGCAATGCTTCCTGAAGGTATTGGTAATTTAAGGCACCATGATACCTGCATTGAAGCAAAAAGATTTTTCCATAAAGATATAAAAATCAAGGAAGCTATTAGGGGATTGTTTGGCATCGACATCGAATCTCGAACCTTTTTTATCGAGATGGGAAGCCGGAGGAGGTCAGTATTCTTTGAAGGATGCTATGTTGTGTCTCAGCTGCAAGAGGTGATATCGAGATTTCGATGGGATCACCAAGAGAAATGGGAGCTTATTGGTGGTGTGTGGCTGGACATGTTAACTTATGCTGCTAGTCAATGCCCGTGGAAGGAGCACGCAAGGCAACTTCAGCACGGTGAGGAATTGCTAACACACGTCGCCCTTCTCATGGCACATCTTGGTTTAACTAGGAAAATCAATTTGGTGGATTTACCCCAAAGACTCGTGGACGTCGATTTCAAGCCTAGCTGGTATTGGAATAGGCTTGACCGATTGGCTTATTACTTGGCTTAGACACGTTGTATGTATAAGCACCCATTTCCATCCTCATGAAATCCGGCTTGGTTCGGGTCCTCTTTTCTGCACAACTTTCTTTATTTGTCCTTTTTCAGTTTCAAATAAACATACCTTGGGCTTGGGTGTACACCTAAGTAATTTAGCATATTCTTTTTGGTTATTTTGTATGTACATAGCACTATAGATCTAATTTGAAAACTATATGGCTCTTCTTGGATTAGCATTAACTTGAAGAGCCTTGTTTCGATTAAATGAAAATTTAACTTTAAAAAACTATAGTAAATGTTCAACCTTTTTAAATTCTATTCATAATTTGATATCCATATCGTATAGTAAAATCTTATTGAAAAACTGTTAAAGCTTAAACACATAAAACATAATTTAATTGAATTTCTGTAGAATGATATATGATTCTTATAAAAAAAATGTATAGCTAGTAAAGATGTTAAAAATTTATTAGTGAAAATCTGCATACAGATAATCAATTTTATATAATTTATATTTTCTCAAAGATCAGAAATATAAGATGGTTTTGACTAAATATATGTATTTAAGAGATCCTAATTACCTAACATTTTAACACTTGAATAGAATTATATATACATATATAGCATTTTATTACGTGGTTCTCAAAATAACTAAGTAAATAAAAAGGGTAAACCATGTGAAAAGCGCTATTACAAAAAAAATTGGAAGCGAAATCGTTAGTAGCCCCATCCCATCTTTTCTCTTTATTCGTGCATCAAAATCTTTTAACTTCCTTCCTCGTTACATGTTATGCGGTCATTTATTAATGTTTATAAGAGCATAACCTATGCTATGCATTCAAGGCACAATCATTTGATGTATGAATAAAATATAAAATTAATTTATATTAATAATAAAAATAATTATTTAAAAATAAATAATAAACCAATGTATTATTCATAAATATGAAATTATATTATAATTTGTAAAGATAAACATTTAAAAATTGATAGATATTTTGTTGATTATTTGTTGAGTTAACTTGAAGACTATTATTGTATTGAAAACACAGGTCAAAATTCACAAATGATGCTATTTCTCCTCTTAAAAACAAAGTTGGTTGAAAAATTAAATATATATATATATATAGATATAAATTAGTTACATGCAAAAAAGTTTAAAGTGAAAGCAAAAATATAAATATAGTAAAAAAATTAAAAATATGGTTCAAAAGATAAATAAGTTAAGAAAATAAAAAGAAATAGAAGAAGAAAGGAATGAAGAGAAAAACTAAAGAAAAAAGAGAAACAATTCTAGAAAGAGAAGCCTTGTAAAATTAAAATAATACTAATCAATTGCATTTCTTAAAACTAATCCAAAAACCACGTCAATTTAAAAACAGAGAAACTCATGCATAAAAAAAACTATAAGTAGTTCATATTTACTTATATGATCATTTTTTCTAAAAAAAAGATAAAGTTGTAAATTTAATCAGTAAAAAAATTAAACTTTAATAAAAAGAATAATAAAAAATTAAAAAAAAGAGAAAAACTAAACAAATCTCAAAACACACTAAATCTGCAACTTGATAATATTCTATCCATATGGTTTCAATAATATACAATTATAAAGTGAACGGTTGACTAATATTATATTTTGTAAAAATGCACTTATTTATGACATTTTTTAATATTTAGAAAGTAATTACAAAAAATATATATATCAAATGAGTTGATAGATAAACATAGAGCAAAATAATAATAATAAACATGTAAATTAAGGAATATATTTATAGTAAAAGGCATATTCTTATTCAAAAGATAATTAAAAATAAACTTATTATGAGATAAGATGAGTAACATATAAAAGCAGTCAATAATTGGTACACCTTGAGTAAAAGTGTCAGTAGCTTATTATCTACAACAAAAAAGTATAACCATACTCCTAATCATATAAGACAAAAACCAAAGAAATAATTTAAAAACTTAGATGAAAGACTTTTAATTTCTATATAGAAGTAACAACATTATAAGAATAAAAATAATAAAGAACTCAAATAATGAAAATTTGAATAAATAGAAAATAATGAAATTAAGAAATAAAATAAGAACAATATATAAAATACCTTTAAAACAATTATAATTGGAAGTTATCTTAAACCTGTAAAAACTAAGATTGTACAATAAAATAACGCAATACTAATCAATCGCTTCCTAAGAAATAAATCCAAAAATTATATCAACTTAAAAAACAGAAAAATTCATGCATAAAAAAAATAACAACAATGGGTAGTTAATGTTTACTTGTATGACAATTTTTCTGAATAAAGAAAGACAAAATTATATATATTAGTAAAAGCTGTACTTTTTTATATTGCTAAGTGAAACTAAAAGTTTAAATAATTACACTTTTTAATCTTTCACTATACCAAAAAATATATACGTTACCTAAAGAAATTAATGTGATTAAAACTCAATTTTGTTGTAACGTATAAAATTAAAATTTTAAATATTAATCTATAAATTATTTAATACTATTAGAATTAAGATAAATATATTTTTTAATGAAAATCCTTCGATAGAATTAAAATTCTTTTATATTTACAAGTTAGATAAATTTTTAATAATATTAATTATAAAGAATATTTTATATATATATATTTATATATGTTAGAGATTACCTTTACCTTGTGATAAAATGACAATCAAGATAAGTGATTATATGAGATAACAATGAGTGTTTTTTTGCTTAAAATGTTTTCGGTATAGGTATTCATGGTTAACTGGTTATGATTAACTGGTTACTTATGGTTAATAACTTGAGTTTATATATATACATATGAGTGAAATGAATTCACGTGTCCTTAATCATAAACATAGTCCAAGAATTGAATCTAATCTTGCCTATTTTTTAATATGCTTGGAAGAATTAAAAGAAGTTAACCAGGCTAAGATACACTATCCTTGTAATTATTGCTATACTAATAATTAAAATCACTCAATTGTTTATTTTTTTTTCTGTACTTTCAATTTTAAATGTCAATTAAGAAATACACAACATTTCATTTTTAAATTTTAACGCATAAACAAATAGAATGTGTAATACTTAGATATATGAATGCAAAAGTACTTTTTTGAGTAAATTACTTATCTGCATACAAATAATTAATTTTATTTAATTTATATCTTCTCCAAGAACAGAAGTATAAAATGGTTTTGACTAAATATATGTATTTCAGAGATCCTAATTTACCTAACATTTTAACACTTGAATATAATTATATATATAGTTCTTTATTAAGTGGTTCTCAACATAAATAAGTAAACAAAAAGGGTAAACCATGTGGAAAGCGTTATTACAAATAGGATTTGGGCTAATCAAGTCTTTGAGACACAAAAAAAATGGAAAGCCAAAGCGTTGGTAGCCCCGTCCCATCCCAAAAGCCAGAAAACATTAACTCCGCCAGACTTTGATTAATTGCTATTTCTTTCCATTTCAACTTGTTTTGTTTTTAAGATGAAGCCTGTTTCCAAACTTGTACGTCACATCTATGCCACCCAGTCCATAACCATTTCTCTCTATATATGAAGTAGACAACCCCTCTCTCTCCCAACAATCAAAACAAAAACTTTTCTCAGCTTTTTCTCTGATCCATTATTGCCCACTTGGCTGCAGCCAAGGTTTTTTCATATCTCTTCGTCTTTATTGCCCTCTTCGGCGTGGTTGCATCTGACCCTGATCATCTCCAGGATCTCTGCGTAGCTAACAAAGCAGCAGGAATAAAGGTGAATGGATGTCCACGCAAGGACGAAGCAAATGTAACGGAAGCTGATTTTTTCTTGAGCGGTCTAGCCAATCCAGGAGCAATTAATAATTCGGTCGGATCAGTTGTAACAGGAGCCAACGTTGACAAAATTCCAGGGCTTAACATCCTAGGCGTGTCACTTGCCTGCATCGACTATGAAGCTGGTGGCCTCAACCCACCCAACACTCACCCCCGTGCCACTGAAGTCATCTTTGCTCTTGATGGTGAATTGGATGTAGAATTCATCACTACAGCAAACAAGTTGATCTCCAAATCCACCAAGAAAGGCGACATTTTTGTCTTTCCCAAGGGTCTTGTTCATTTCCAGAAGAACAATGGTGCCAAGCCAGCTTCCGTGATCGCAGGATTCAACAGCCAACTGCCTGGAACTCAATCAATCGCTGCAACATTGTTTACCTCAACACCCCCGTGCCAGACAATGTCTTGACCAAGGCCTTCCAAATTGGCCCTAAGGAAGTCAACAAAATCAAAAACAAGCTTGGCCCCAAGAAAAGGTAAGAAAAGAGGCCCTCGAGTTTGAGGAGAAAATCATCAAACCTTGGCTCCCCATACTTAACTTAGAGTACTATTTGGTATTAATTCTATATTCATTTTTCAAAAAAAAAAAAACTTCTTTGCGAAGAGAGTGGTTAATGACAATCTTAAACATAAGATTTAATCATAAGACGTATGAAATCGCACTTCTGATCAGAGAATTATAAAGCAATTGAGTCGAAACCATAACAACAAGCGGAAGAAGATTCCTCTGCTTTTCTCTTCGCTTCGATTCCTTTACCAACCCAACATATGTATGTCATAGATCCTACTTACCAAACATTTTAGCACTATAATATAATTATATAGTTCTTTATTAAGTGGTTCTCAAAATAAATAACTAAACTAAAAGGAAACCATGTGAAAGCCTTACTACAATGATTTAGTAAAATGCAATTGCCACTTTTATGAAAATGCCATTTTTGTCTGTAAATTGTAAATAGTTTCATTAATTTTTATTAAACTACAAATAATGAAATTAACCCGTTATTGAACGTGATTCCAAAAATACTGATAAATTTTAGACCATAATTCGATTTCTTAGTGCATGAACAACATATCTAACTTCTTTTACCCACATCATTAAGGAGGCAAATAGCTTGGCCGATGGACTTGCAAAAGCCGGAGCAATCAGGTCTGACCATCTCTCAGCCATCTTGTAACCTTTACCAGCTTTGGCCATTAATTTTTATCTGTCTTTCTGGCCCTTTGTGTTACTGCTGTGTTATGATTTTACGATTCATCGCAAGTAACTTGCTGTGAAATTGCATCGGAAGTTTGTTGTGTCCTGTTGATTTCCAGGTTCTTTATGTATCATTCAATTTTGCTTTCGTTAGTGGTCCCCGTTGAATGTATTGAGGAGTTGTTTATCTTCTGAGTGTCTTCATGTTATGGCCTTGCATGTTATTGTCTCAAAGCTGTTTCTGCTTAGGAGCCGAAGCTTTATAGCACCTCCTTTAATTTGTAATAGCACTTCTGTGCAACTCTATCAATACAATTATCTTACCATTCCAAAAACAAAAAAAGAAAAAACACATGTCCGATGTGTCCCAATCATATTTTTTCAAATTTTTTTGCTACAAATGGGATTTGGGCTAGTCAACTCTTTTGAGAATAGGATGGGTCATGACAAACTCAAACATAAGATTTAATCATAAGACGTATAAAATCACACATCTGATAATAGAATTGTAAAGCAAATGAATCAAAAAGGAGTGGCTAAAGTGGAATGGATCCAGGGACTAAAAAACAAGGACAGCCTCCTATGGTGGATGGCCACTGCCAAGCCAACACAAGAAGACGCCCCCACATTTTAATTAGCAAAAACAGCGTTTGCCGTCTCTTCAAGCCCCAAATTCAGCTTCATCTCAATCCCTGAAACTTCGAGACAACTTCTCTTCAATCGTCATTTGTACATCTCAACCGAACGGTGACATCCAGGCGAATATGTTACTACCTAAAACCTGAAAGAGACAAAAGTTTCTTCCTTTTCTTACGGGCTTAAAGAAAACGTAATAAAAACATCACATCTTCCAAATGAACAGCACACCAACAGTTTCAATATTCCCTCTACCGTCTACTTCCAAGCTGCGTCACTGCCCATACATTATTTTATGTTTTAACAATCTCCAAAAACAAGGCTCCAAGCACTTGTCCTCTCTCTTTCTTTTGGTCAATGATCAAACAACTCTATATTTCTCGACCCTTTTCTCTTTTTACCTTTTTTCTCTGTTTCAAACACAGTTTTCAATCAAGGATCATGACACTGGAGGAAGCAGAACCAAATCCAACCCCGGATCATATCTTAGACTGGCTCGAGGATTCGATATCATTCCTTCCATCTTTCTTGGATGATCCTTACAACTCAGGCGAGATCAATAGCTACCAATGGTGGGATCAGGATCAAGATATAGGTCAAGATCTGATTAACATAGGCGCTACTGCAATCGATAGCCCCACAACTGCTGCTGGTGCTGTTGCAAATACTACTAACAGTAGCCTGATACAGTATGATTCCTCCTTTCCTAATCCTGGCTTGCCACCCAATTCATCTAAGAAAAGGAAACCCTCTGACGACCAGGTTCCAAGGGCAGCCCAGAATCGTCAACAGAAGAAGAATCAGAGCAGTAAGATCAACGAAAACGAAAAAGGAAAGGCAGGACTTGAAGAGGTGGTGGCCAATAAAAGGTCAGCTGGAAACAAGAAAAATTCAAACAAGTCTTCAGGAAATAACTGTAATAACGGTAATAACAACGAGGGGAGATGGGCAAAACAGTTACTGAACCCTTGTGCCATAGCCATAACTACCGGTAACCTGACGCGTGTGCAACATCTATTGTATGTTCTCAATGAGCTCGCCTCATCCACCGGAGATGCCAACCACCGCCTTGCAGACCATGGCCTACGAGCCCTGACTCACCACCTAACCTCTTCCTCTGCTTCCACAGGGCTAATTACTTTTGCTTCCACGGAGCCAAAGTTCTTTCAACGATCTTTACTCAAATTCTATGAGGTTAGTCCTTGGTTTGCATTCCCTAATAACGTAGCAAACGCTTCCATACTCCAGATTCTTGCTCAAGAGCCTGATAAGACTCGTAATCTTCACATTCTTGATATTGGGGTATCTCATGGTGTGCAATGGCCTACACTTCTTGAGGCCTTGACTAGGCGCTCTGGAGGGCCTCCTCCTCTGGTTCGCATCACCGTCGTTGCAGCCACAGCTGAAAAGAGTCAAATCATGGACACCCCATTTTCTATTGGTCCACCAGGTCACGATTTCTACTCTCGACTTCCTGGTTTCGCCAAGTCCATGAACATCAATTTGCAAATAAATAGACTCGAGACCCATCCGTTACAAAACCTTAATACACAAACTATTGACAACTCACCTGGAGAAACCTTAATCGTTTGCGCCCAATTCAGACTACATCATCTAAACCACAACAGGCCTGATCAAAGAACGGAGTTCTTGAAAGTACTAAGAAGTTTAGAGCCAAAAGGGGTGATTCTGAGCGAGAACAACATGGACTGTAGCTGCAGCAACTGTGGAGATTTCGCAACAGGATTCTCACGGAGAGTTGAGTACCTATGGAAGTTTTTGGACTCAACAAGCTCAGCATTTAAAGGACGAGAGAGCGAAGAAAGAAGAGTAATGGAAGGAGAAGCAGCGAAGGCTTTGACAAACCAAGGAGAGATGAATGAAGGGAAAGAGAAATGGTGTGAGAGGATGAGAGGTGTGGGGTTTGTTGGAGAAGTGTTCGGGGAGGATGCCATAGATGGAGCTCGAGCATTGTTGAGGAAGTATGATAGTAACTGGGAGATGAGAGTTGAAGAAAAAGACGCTTGCGTTGGATTATGGTGGAGAGGGCAGCCTGTTTCTTTTTGTTCGTTGTGGAAGCTATATATCAAGGAAGAAGGGAGTTAAAAGCAGTTGTTGATTTTATTATCTTTATTCTAGCTTATAATGCTTGCTATTAAGTTCGTAATTATAAAACTGTGTGTGAAGGATGGTTTGCAGTCTAGTGTTCAATCAGTTTTGGCATAAAACAACACTGCAATTCTTTTGCCTACTTTCAATCTTTTGAAAAATGGAGACAATGGTTACATCCAAGATCTCCAGCAAACATTAAGAGGCAATAGTAATTTTCTCGTAACTAGTAAATTTCTATCTACGAAACTCAATTGCTAGCTCTGCATCACCGTACAATGAATCCTTTCTTCTCTTTTTTTTTCTCTAAACAATGAGAACATAGGCAAACGAGGGAACTGCCATCACGAATACCCCCCTGTTTGTCGTCAGGAGTTAATTCAAGCGGAAAGAGCAGCTGCAAAGGACACAATTACCTACAAGGTACACTCTCAAGCGGCAAGCTGCATATGCCTTTGAGTTGATTCAATCTGAGATAGAATCAAGTTTTTCCATTGGCAAGCATATCGAATTTCTTGAAATATGGATATACCATTCATTTCAAGGACATTGTAAACAGTTCAATATTATCTACTAAAGTTCTTAAAAAAAAATTCATTCTTTTGACAATAATATCAAGAACAAGCATAAAAAATCCAGGTAGAAATTTGGGTTTTAAATGCAAACTCAACTGGAGTGCCGTTTTGCTCTTCAGATTAGTAGACCAGCAAGCAATTTTTGTAGCTTATTCTCCTTTTCCTATTTCAATTTTTGGCAAGTGAAAGGCATGAACTGAAATTTGATCAACTCCATACCCGTTTAAAAGTCATCAATCATAAGATTCCTAACTAAATGGATACAAAGTTCAGAAATGCTCCCCCAAGCAAAGCTGAACCTACAATAATCCTTATCCCACCAAGCATACCAACAACAACTCGTTCGTCATACCCAAGCAAATAAGAACAAATATTGACCGCATTGCTAACAGCCTTGATGGTCCAATTAACATCATATAAATATTCATTTATTGGCTATTCTTCATTCCATCTACATGACATTTTATCATATTATCATGTTCTTTCATCCAAGTAGTAAATCATTAACTTAATTGAAGAATTCTAGCTCCAATCTCAATGCTTCAAAATTAGATTATAGGCATAGGGAGGAAATGGAATATACATTTTGCTTCAATCCTTTACTAGGGATATACACAAACTTTAGTTCAAGTATCTACATAAAGTGGAGAAAATAAAATTAAATTCAAAATCAGAACTTAACAGGGTTGTAAGTTTTTTCCATAAAAAATATTAAGCACAAGAATCTCTAGTTTGACTTAATTCCCTTCATATCACCCCAACCATGCTATGCAGCTAAGTCAACTCCAAATAACTCCAGCCCCTTTCAATGCTATGGAAATCAGTTACAAAAGCTATAGTTATGGCTTCAACTGCAAGGAACGCCTTAGAACTATACCTGACGATTTTCCATGCCACCCTGGTGTCAATATCTTGTACCATGATTAAAAAATTAAATACAGCAACCATTTTCTCTTTAAGAAGAATATATACGCACTGAACTACGGATTGCCATGCGGCAAACAGGGCATTTTGGTACCACTTCTCGTTCAACTGATACAGCACAATGTTGGCAACAAACAAGGTGACCACATGGAATAAATGCAGACCGTCTTCTCCTCATCAAGCAGATCACACACAACTCTCCATCTGGAACATCACCTGCCTCCTCATCCCCAGCAATCTGAGAGGTGGCATCATCAGGGGCAGCATGAGTTGATAGTTGAAACCGTCTTAGCCTCCATTCTTTCCATTTATTCCAATTCCTGAAGGCAATTCATCAACCAAATAATGTTTATCTTAAACAAAGTGAACAAGGCAATTGTGTAGTCACAAAGTTAAGAAAAGAATGTGCATAACTGCATTATGATTGACATGGTCTACAGGCTTTTATCAGAGATAAATCCAAGAATGAAACTTTCAGTAGTAAGAGAAGAAAAAAGAAGATCATTAGACTAAAACAAAATACCTCACAAAAGCATAGCCAAGGATACCAATAGACAGTGAACCAAGGACGACACCACTCCACAATAGTATTTTTGTCTTGAAGGCAAGATCTAACAACATCTGATCCTTTGTCTTGTCAGAACTGCAGTTGCATGCATGAAGAGGTTTGTAAGATGTTGAAGCAAGCTTTTCAAATATATATATATATATATATATATATATATGTTTGAAGCAAGAGATATACATTTCAGGTTAATCTGGGCTATGGCCAATTTTAAAGTCATTGCTCTCTTTAAACTTGTTAAGTCAATAATGAAACTGAGAATGAAACATGACACTTTGAGAAAAAACGCAACTAAATTAGCACTTTAGGTATAGTCAAGTCCTAATAAAAAACAAAAATCTTGAAACACAGCTATGCTTTTCTATTTCACATTAGGTGCATGAAAATTTAAATCAGCCAAGCCCAAATAAGAAACAAAAATTTTTAGGCACGGCTAGATTTTTGGATTCACATTACTAGCATGAAAATTTGCAAGTCCCAAAAGTAAATAAATGAAAAGGTAACAGTATACTGTCTATAGCAAACCCCCTTACAGAAAATAAGGAAGCTCCTTGCATGACTTGATTTCAGGCACTCCATTATTGAAACTGCAAATGCCAACAGCAGTGATTTCCTTTCCCAAGGGAAGAATTTTCTCTTCATCAAGCAGACCAACCTTAAAAACAAATAATACTATGATTTCAACAAAGTTGAGGATGTGTAATACATCAAATGATGCAAGACCACAATCCGTAAGCAATATAAACTTCTAGCTTCAAAGAAGTAATATAAATTTTACATCTTTCTTAACTCACAGGGTATTCATGACCAAACAAAGCCTGAAGGAATGTATAAGGAGAAGCATTGATAGGCTGCAATTGATGATAAACTGTAGTTAGGGGCAGGGGATGCCTTGAACCATCCATGTTCACAATGACACAATCAGATTGGGGCCATTGACCGCCTTCAACCAGAATGAAAGGAACCTGAAAAACATTAATACCCAACAAAGGGACCAGAAAGAATATTATAACAAAAACAGAACAAAATCCAATGCTTGAACAAACACAAAAAAGAAAAAGTTCTAATGAAAAGCATTACACAACTAAAACAATTGAGCCTAAAAAATATTTATTTATTTTCTAACCTAAGGGAAAAGGGAAATTTTTTAACTAACCGTTCTCATTGAAGTGGACTCTTTTTTATTCCAAGACCTTCCGATGATAGCACGTAAATCAGAAGTCCATCCAAAAAATCCCCTCCATTCATGGTAAATATACTTCATTTAAAAGAAAGAATAAAGTTAATCCAATTATTAATTAATCAAAATTAAAACTAGAAAACTCAAATTATATAAAAATATTTTTATATTAACGGACCGTACAGTTTGTGTTCTTTGGATAACAACAGCTTTATCACCGGACTCTTGAGAGACAAGCACATTACTCCTAAGGCTCTTCCAGCTCCGTCCATCGCCGGCCGATCTCGCCTCAACGGCGCCTCGAATTACGATGATAGGTTCTTCGGTGGAATCCGACTTGTCCTCTTCGAGGACGGAACGGAGGTCGGCCACGCCAAGCGACGGTGCAACACGAATTTTACGGAGAGCAGTGGAGGTTGACTTGAACCTGAAAATTGTTCGGACGGCGGCGTAGGCTAGGGCGACGCCTAAAACGGCGCCGTCGAAGGAGAGGGCTAGTTGTGAAATTAAGGACGCTAGGGCTTGCTCCTGTGAGGACATATTCGTAATTTAGTTATCTTTTACATTGGAGGTCACGAAATCGGTGGCGGGACAGACGGAACCAACGTCCAGGGTGATCTCAATGAGGAGAGAGTCTGCTTGAGCACGCGAGAGAGGGAGAGGGATGGGTGCTAACTGTTTGCTAACGGGGCGGTTTTGGATTCTGTGCTGGGGTGGTTGGTTAATATGAGTGAGAAATGAGGGTTTTTTGGTCAATTAATGATAATCACAAGGCTTTGGTGACATGGCACTTTTCTATTAAGTGATTTTTATTTGCACGGGTATGGTTATGTGGGTCGGATTTCAACCGAAACGGAATTTAGATAAAGTATGTTTTTATTTTGATTAAATGTTCAATTTAGAGACAAAGTTTGTCAAATTAGAACCAATCGTTTTAATTGTAACAATTAAGAACTAAACATTTTTAGTTCCTTACAATTAAAAGTTAAAGTGAAAGGTATCGATTGTGAATGTTGACTTAAAATTTTATCTTAATTGAAAGGTAGTGTTATCAGATTAAAATGATTCAAATTTTGATGTAGTACGCAACAACTTTTTCATGATAACTTGTAACAATTAAATTTTTTAACATAGCGTGTAACAATTAAATCTTCAATATAATATATAATAAATATATTTTTCAACATAACGTGTAATAACTAAATTTTTAACATAATATATAATAATTATATTATTTTAATATAGCGTGTAATAATTAACTTTTCAACATAACTCCACTTGGATAATGTGTTGAGTAAGCAGCTATGTCATCAACTCAAGCTATATTCTATCACGTGTAATGCATAGTTCATCCACCTGTCAACTTAATTCTTAATTACAAAGAATCAAAAACATTTGACCTCAATTATTACAATTAAAACATTTAGTTCTTAATTGAAAAATTGTTCAAACGTTTAACCCCAATTTGAGCATTTAGCTTTTTATTTTTCAAAATAAGGTCTAAATTTCACACTTTTTTTAGTACTTTTTTACTATCTTATTGTTATTGTTTGAAAAATAATATAAAGCATATTATTTTAGAAAAAGTAATTAAATAAAGATCTAATATATCGATTTTTTAACTTTTGATTATAATCACACGCGAATCTATTAGTATTCAAAATGAATAATTTCTCTTAAAATAATATTTTGTAGGATACATAAGTCTTGTCGTTGATCAACCGTCAATGTTTTCATTAATTTGATGACATAATAATATTTTTAAGATAATTTTACCCTTAATTAATTTTAAAAATTATCACTATATAAATTATAAGTTTTTCTCTTATTAAAAAAAATTCTCTCCTGATTAGCCACCCCGAAGTCAAATCTAGTCAAAAAGTGCCAAATTCGACCAAATCAGAAAAGTACTGATCTAGTGCTCTTTTGGGGAGCCCAATGAAGCACAATCTGATGCTCCCCAAGGGAGCACAAGATCTAGAGTGCACAACTAGATCTTACGTTCCCATGGGATAATCTAACCAAATTTAACATTCCATGTACATTAGTCGACCTAAATGAAAGGAAAAGAGTGGAAAAAGAAAAAAGAGTATTTTAGACATTTTACATTTAAGTATTAACACTATTTACAAGTTTGGAGTAAACTTTTGATTTTAAATACTAATTGATCCATGTGTAATTATAATCAAAAGTTAAGAGGGTTAGTGTATTTTACTTTTAAATAAAATAATACACAACAATTGAATTTTTTGTGTAATCTATCTCTACATCTTTTAGTTAGAAAATAGCATTAGAATCTTTAAATAAAAATTAATTTATTTTAAAAATATTATCTAGAAATTATTTTTTAAATTTAATACATAATGCTCAAATAAACTTCTAAATTATTTAAGAAAATTCAAATAAGTTTTTATTCTTTTATTACCTCTAATCAAGTTCCTATATTTTTATTTTTAAATCAAATAAGCATATATGATTAATAATTATCATTTATCATTTTATATCCACATGACATTAATATAGAAGTTGAAAAATGTCATATAATCATATTAGTATGTCAAGTCATCATCAATTATGATATGTCAATATATTATACGTTAATATCACGTAGCATATAATAACAAATGATACTTTGATTAAGTTAATTATTAATTATAAAAACTTATTTGATTTAAAATAAAAACTTATTTAACTTAAAATAAAAATATAAGAACTTGATTGAACATAATAAAATATAAAGACTTATTTGAATTTTATTTAAAATTTTAAAAAAATTTAGATATTATACCTAAATTTAATAATTTCACCTAGTTAAATCAAAATGAAAATAAAATGAGCAAAATGCAACAATCAAACTTCATAAGCTTTTAATGTAATTTCTTCTTAGTTAACATAAGACTCTATATTTGTGTGTGTGTGTGTATATATATATATTTGACAATAAATAAATAAACATAAGCAGTTAAAATTACTGACATAAATTAAAGCTATGGCAATGAGTAGAACTCATCTCATCTCACAAAATAGGATGGAAGAATTAGACCCAAAATGCACGACCGGCCCAATAAACAACGCCAGCGCCTGCTCTCGTTGATTTCTCCACCTATCTACATGTATTCAACTATTCTGTCTCGAATGTTAGAAGTAATATATCTCGTCAACGCTGGGGACTCAAGGATGGTATTCAGAAGCATTAGCATTAGTCTGTTTACTTTCGTTTCTTTGCTCTCTGCCTCTTTTCTGGTAGTTTAGTTTGGTTTTTCCTTGTAGCAGGCTTTCCCGCTTCCTTCAGAAGGGGAAAAACATGTATGAAGGTAGAATCTGGACCAGTCAAGCCCGACTTCATTCAGATTGCAGTCCATGTGAATGAAAACATGCGCCACTTTCCCTTGTCATCCACCATTTCCACAATTGAGTAGGAATTCAAATATGATGTGAACAGTTATTATAGCTGCGGTGGGTAAGAATAGCCAATGGAGATTTAAATTCTTTTTAAGGTCAAAACTCATAATCCAATTCCAATCCAGGGGCAGCAGCCTTAGCAATCTTTGAGGCCATCCAGGCCTTTCGGGCGAGTCATAAATTACTTGGAACTGACTAGGGGTATGATTATACTAACATGCTTGCCTGTAGTCTCTTTTCCTTTAGACAAATATCAGCATTTCATCGGATTGTCAATTTGCTCAAAATTAAAAAGCGAAAAAGGATACTGCTAACTGATATAATATGTTTGAAGTACAATCTTATCGTATTCATTTGATCACGCTAGGAGCAACCTGAAACAAACGATATAACCAATTTATTGACCTCATCAGGCGACTCCATATTAGCAGCATGCCCTGTATCCTTGATAATCTCCAACCTTGATTTTGAACCCAAGTGCCTGTATCCATGAAATTATCACACCAACCTTCAGATTTGAAATAAAGTTTAGAATTATGGTAACTACTAAAAAGATATGGAAAAGGGTTGCTACTATTTACCTTTGCAACTGATGTGCAAGTTCTAATGGGAAAACCTTATCCTGATCCCCCCAAATTATAAGTGTTTCCTTCACCCAAACACAATCCCAATCTATTAGATTCAGAACAGACAGGTAATTTTACTAGAAATGAGAAACACCGATACCAAAAAGTAGGGCTGTAGTCAAGCAACCTGAGTTAGAACAGGAAGGTTGGTATCTGCTTTCTTCTCCACCAAGTGCTCTGCAAGCTCAATCTTCTCCTTCCGACGATGATCATACATCATCTGAAAGACTCAAATTTGATTTTATCATTCTTTGAGATGACAAGCAAGGCTCGTTTAATTGAGGCAAGAGCAAACATAAACGGTCAAAATGCCAAATCCAAAGACAGTAAACTCACAGTTACGAACTCGCGAAGTAAGAAATCAGGAAGCCAGTGGAGAGAATTCTGCTTGTACATTGACAGATTCACGAGTAACCTTAAATCATCCGGGTTCTTGGGAACAAGAATCTCAGAGGGATGCCTTCCAATTCTCCTCAACTGCTCTGCCTTCTGATCATCAGTATACAGAATTCCACTGCTCAAGATCACGACCTTCTCCACCTCATCAGGGTACATCTCAGCGATCCTATACGCCACGAATCCTCCATAACTAATTGCATAAACAGAGAACCTGTCAACTCCCAGCCTCTTCAACGCGTCTGCCAAGCATTTAGCCTGGAACAAATCAGACCTGTCCAGGCTTTTCGAGTGAGATTTTCCGAAGAACAACAAATCCGGGACATATACATTGAATTTTCTAGACAGAGGACCAATTTGATGAAGAAACTGCCAGAGTGAATTGCCTCCATAGCCATGGACCATGACAAGAGATGGCTTGTTAAAACGTCGGTGATTGGCGACCCAGAAATGGACGGTGGTTTGGTCATCCAAATCAGTGGCGCAGGGAGACAGATTGCAAAAACGAAAATAAAGAGATAAGATCGTGTCCATGAATTTGGTCAGTAAAGGAGACTGGTTTAAGTTAAGGGTGTAAAGAAGTAGGTTGCGGAAGATGGCGAAGGCGCTTGAGAGATAGAAGGAGATGACATGCCAGAGCTTTGTGGATTCCATTGCTGATTTTGCTTGGGAATCAGATTTCAGAAACGATTTTCAGACGTATTAAATATGCTGTATCAAATCAATACTCAAACTAATCGAAAACTTCTCGGTAAGTCATATCACCTGAATTTTTTTGCTAGATACGCTAATAATTTTCGATTGACCTATATATCCTGTAATTTACAGGAAGGTAATACTATTTTTGGATAATTCATAAGGCCTAATCTGCTACACGTGCACTGCTTTGCTCTCAGTGTTCATCACTTGGATGGTTTTGGAGTTACGGTCCTGAGTATTCACGCATAATAGTTTCAATTTAAATCAAAAGATATAAAATTATAGTTTTTAATGCACTCCTTAAAACCAAAGAAACCTTCATTTCAAAAGATTTTGTCTAAAACGTAACCTTAATCTTAGTTTCACACGCAAAAGCAAAAACTAATAAATAAATAAATAACTTGTCAATGCCCTGCCAAATATGTATTAATTGAATTATTATGACCTAATTAAACATATTTATGTCAAGAAAAACCATTAATAAAATAAGCAGCAGCCAGTAGCATATACAAGGGAAGAGCTGGTCCGTATCCATTTACTATATTCAATACATTGTTTAACAGGCATTAAACATATAAAAATAGCAATTTCTTATACTCTTTAGACATGTAATGTCAGAGCAGTCGAAAACTTGATTCAATATAAATACATTACACATATATTTTCTATTTAAAAAACTAAATCCCAAACCTCCCGTCTTCCAACAAAAAAAAAATTAAAAAAAAAAAGTCATAAGTTAAGATAAAAAAAATATCATAACAAATTTCGTTTTTTATTATCATTTTCAAAATTTTCAATCAATTAATATAATATATGATATATGAAATTGAAGAAAAGTTAAATTTATAATTTAAAAAGAGAATTATGTATTTGATAAGTTATCGACAATAAGTGAATTTGAATATAAAATTTTTTAATTATGATTAGTTAATGTTAATTTTGAATGTTTATGTCAATCCGTAAAGTGACGACAGGACATATTTTGTCCTTATTTGGAAGAATTGAGCAACTTGCGGCTTATCTCCACTTAAAACAGTTTTTTTAGGCAAGAGAAGATAGGCTCTGAGCACTTTTGGCCAAGAATGGGCGATAATATCATGGCATTGAAGTTGCAACAATTAATTAGAGGGAAATGAAATGGCCCAAGAAATTAAGGGAGGTGGTGCGTATCTAGGGAGATGATGGCCGATTAGTCCAACAAGTTGACAAAGTAACCATCATTTAATCATTAAGAGGACAATTAATTAATGCGACCACATCAAGTCTTTACCCTCTCCCTTCCCTAGCTTTGTCAAGGTCAAATATTACGACAAAATGAAGCATCATCATATAGTGAAGTGGCTCTGCGATTTATAGGAATCGGTTTGTCTTGACTTAAACCACATTGGGAAAACCAAAATTGCGAAAAGCAAAGACAATGGGGGGAAGGGGATTTGAAATTAAGAAAATTAGACCAACAAAGGGCAATTCCTTTATCGAATGAACTGATTTTTGAGGAAAACTCAGGCTTACTTCCCTCCTTTTGCCTTAAAAAATCAATTAACTTTGATAACAATTAAAATATTATTTTTATTTTATTTATAATCAAAGTTAATTGATTTTTAAATATTTTTATTTAACAAAATAATTATCACATCATCTAAAGTTTTTCCATATATATATATATATATATGTCACGTGTATGTCAACATGGATAAGTTAACAAAATAGTTACTATATCATCATTTTTCATCCAAAATCAATTTTAATTAGAAAAAATAATAATATAAAAGCAGAAGCTTATTAATGTGAATTGTAATATAGATTGAGAACTTGTTTTGTCATTATGCCTTTCAAGAATAACCTCGGAAAATTGGTATTTTATATATCAAAATTAAATCTTACTTGGCTGTAGCCTTGGGTTATTTGCTGCCTAAATTATGGTTGGTATATATCTCTCTCAAAACCAAGGGAATATATAGAAAAGAATACTTTGCAGTTATCATCTCATAAAAAAATTGCTAAATTCAGGCCTTTTGTCACATGAGTTGCACGTACCTAAGCAATCTTTGTGAAATATGTGCAAAATTTTGATATCAGTTCGAAGGAAGCAGCAATTGTAACCACTGGTTTAAGACATTTTGAGACCAGAGAGGGTTTTTGTGCCATCTTCATATCAAAAGAAGCATGAAAGAAGATCCTGATTAGGGTAATAAGATACTGTCTTTTTCACTAGACACTACAGGAAGATCCCATAAGTCCTAGAAATTCTATTGTGTGGGTGTGTATACATGTAGCTTTATGTTAGAGAGGGATGTGAATCATAAACAGCTACATTCCAATGAAGAATCAGTACAGCTAGCATTGCTTGTGGCCAAGTATGAACACAGCCAAAATTAAATAAAAAGATGCCTTACTTCCAAGTCTTTGAAATCTCTTTCTTTCCTTCACCACCCTTTTTGACCTTTTCCTTAATTTTTACTCATAATTCAGTCCCTTCACCTTTCTTCTTTTTCACTTTTTGGACGGCTGTTTATCACTTTTTGTCATCCAATTACAAGCTTTCCAACTAGATTCCTTCACTCGTATTATCTTCTTCCTCCTATAAATTCAATCATGGCCTCCATCAATCTTATGGCAGATTAATTTGGTTTATTTCTTTTGCGAGAGAGAGAGAGAGAGAAGAGTCTGGCAATGGCTACATACACTTACGCAAGCGGAAACAACACATCTCAAAGAGGAGTAGCCATGGCATTGGCTCTGATTACAGCAGTGGTTCTATCTCCATTGTACGTTAGGGGGAAAAACGAGACGCGTTATTATGAGATGAAATTGAGCTCCGGATTCGTTCTTCCGATGGTTCTGGCAGGGCTTATCGTTGCCATTAGGACTACATCATCTTCTTCATCGATGCAAAGTGGAGCTAGAGCTTCGATCATTCCATCTCCAGATCCATCGTGGGTGCTCAGAATCGGGGGTTCATCATGGGGACTAGCTGGTATCTTGGTGATGCTTATGCTTGTGCTGTCATGGCAAGAATCTGTCCAAGAATTCTTTTGGAGATAGATGACTTATTGCTTATCCTTAGCATATTCTACTCCATTTTTATTGTATTTGCTGGTTTTTAACAAATAAGGCAAAGGTCGTGTAATATTACAAGAAAAAATAAAAAATAAAAAGTAGCAAGTTGCATTAGTAAAGTTAGCTCGGCATTCCAGTGCTGTTTTATTCTGAGCCCGGCATTTTATTCAACAGTCTCATACTATATAAGTAACAAAGATTATGCGTGCCAATTCTTCTGGCAAACCACAATTGAACTTTATGATATACACCAAATGGATAAATATAGCTATATCCTTCCATCCAAGAATTGGTTTATGCCATTTTATAGCCAAATCTTTCACTTCCCACATTTAAGGTTCACTAAGTATTTGACTCAATAAAATTAATTTCGAATCTCTCTTCCTAAAAAAAATTAGGCTGCCTGTTGGTAGGCCATCGAAGGAGCATAGCAAAATTTGTAAATTTTAAAAAAAAAATTCAAATAAATTTTTAATTTTGTTTCACTTTCAATTAATTTTTTATATTTTTATTTTAAATTAAAATAACTTTTTATAACTATTAATTTATTAATTATTGTTAGTTAAGATGCCATTTGTTATTATATACCACGTGGTGTTAACATGACATATTGTCATATTATAATAAATGATAATATAACATGTTGATGTTACATAATGCTGTGATTATATCATATTCTCACCATCCATGTCAATGTCATATCAACATTAACGTTAGCATCAAGTGTTGTTAGTCAATATTTCACTTATCATTTTATTTCATATGACACTAACTTAACATGTTGTTATATTACAATGAATGACAACGTGATATGTTAATGTGATATAATTACATAATAATGTGTCATTTTCATATTTTACGTGAATATCATATTAACTATGTGTTATTAGTCAAGATGTTGCTTGTCATTTTATATTACGTAATGTTGATATAATATATTGTTATGTTATAATAGACATGATATGTTATAATAATATAATAGATAATGACATGATATGATAACGTGATGTTTTGACATAACATAATAACATGATCATATGATATTTTTACCATCTACATCAATGTCATGTCAATGTCACGTTAACATGAGGTGAGAATAATAGAACAATTGATATTTTAATTAATGATAATTAATTAATAATTAATTATAAGAATTTATTTGATTTAAAATAAAAATAAAAAATTTGATTAAACTATTAGAAGAATAAAATTTTATTTGAATTTTTTAAAATAATTTATAAATTTTTTCAACTTATTTTGTGAAAATACATTGTAAATTTCTAATGTAATTTATATGAAAGTAGTGTAGTTGGAAAGAATAGGTTGCAGTTAATTTTTATTTATTCAATATTGTTTTTTTTTTGGTTCATCCTAATTTAAATTCTTTCTTTGAACAATATGTTAAATTGAGTGTTTTAAGCCTATGAGCTTGTGAAGGACAACAACATAGACCTAATTACAAGACGAAAATTCACCGTTAGTAAATAAACAATAACTAGTATTTATTTTATTGAATATATATTTATAATATCCTAGTAATTTCATATTTTATTATGCTTAAATGTAGTAAAATCTCATTTATCGCCATAGTAGTCTCAATTATTATGCTTAAATAAAATAAAATTTCGTTACTCGTTTAGGCCCGACCCGAACAAGTCCTCTGCGTTTTCTCCCTCAAGCAATCGGCTTCCGAGTTTCAACTTCAAGGCTTTCGAATCTCTCAGTCTCTTCCTTTCTATCTCGATCTCACCCTCTGCAGCGGCAACTCTTGCAATTTCTGCTCCCATCGATCTCTCCGCAAGGTAATTCCACCGATTCTCTCTCCATCCAATCCACCTAGGGTTTCCGATTTTCAATCCTTTTCTTGTTTGTTTCGTTAATTTTACTTCTTTAAAAGCTTAAGAGGTTTCATGGGCCCTTTGTACTGTGCGAATTGGATTGCGCACGAATCTGCGATTATTCTAACATTGGCTTTCTGATATGGGTGAAGTAACTAAAGGGGCAATGGCAGAAGGGGAGGAGGACCTGCCAAGGGATGCTAAGATTGTGAAGTCGTTGCTGAAATCAATGGGTGTCGAGGACTATGAACCTCGCGTTGTTCATCAGTTTCTTGAGCTGTGGTATCGTTATGTTGTGGACGTATTGACAGATGCGCAGGTCTACTCGGAGCATGCTGGGAAGCAAACCATCGACTGCGATGATGTCAAGCTTGCTATTCAATCCAAAGTCAATTTCAGCTTCTCACAACCCCCACCGCGAGAGGTAATTTTGCTTTCACTCTTTCCCCACTTGATGCTCAACAACAAAAGTTTTAATGTTATAGCTTTTGATCGATTGACAATGTTCTCTTCTTGAATGGCCGTGTATTTCACCTCCTTTTCATTGATAGTTTCTTTTTGTTTGTATAAATGCAAATTGTGAAAAATATTCCATCTTTCCTGTTGTTAGGTGCTATTGGAGTTAGCAAGAAATCGGAACAAAGTTCCATTGCCGAAGGCCATACCGGCACCTGGTATCGCCATCCCTCCTGACCAGGATACGTTGATCAATACAAACTACCAATTTGCTATCCCTAGGAAGCAGGCAGTGGAAGAGACGGAAGAGGATGAAGAAAGTGTTGATCCTAATCCCTCCCAAGAGCAGAAGACGGATATGCCGCAGCCAACTTCTCAAAGAGTATCATTTCCCCTGGCTAAGCGCTCAAAGTGAGGATTCAATTGGTTAGCTTTGTAAGATGTTTCAGCTAGCCCTTCGTGTAGGATATTATGCATGAAGTTGTATCATTACTAAAGAGAAAAGGTTGTTTATCCGTTATCATGGTGGTATGTAAAGGATCATTTCAATGGTATCAAAATTCTGCTTCCAGTGTTAGTGTAAGTGTGATTCACTCCTCGTTACATTCCTCTTTGGCAATTTGGGCACTACAATGTTCTCTGTATGCTTATGAACTGAATGTGGTTTTGAAGGTAGAGGAGCAACATAGGTCTTTGCCACACAAAAACTATATTAGGCCTACTCTGGGGTTGCTGTTGGAGTTTTAAAAAAATAGGTTTGGGGAAAATGATGTGAGAAATTGTTGTGGAAAATTGTGTGAAAATTTACCCTAAAAAATTGTGGTTTGGGATTTTTGAATGAATGATATTACTGTGAAAAAATGCTGTAAAGAGTCAAAATGTTTTAAAAGAAGACGATATTTTCAACAATACTTGAATAAATTAAGATATTAGTGAGATGTTGAAATTTAATTTTAAAAATTTTAAAAATTTTAAAAATATATATAATTGTTAGATTTTTTAAAATAAATTTAAAATACTTCTAGCTAAATAGAGTTATGCTCCCTCGATATGTATGATCAGTTTAAATTCAAAATATGTTAATATATGCTTCAAAAATATTTTGGAAATAAAATTAAAGGAACATTTTCCGCCATATTACAGAACAGGATGAGAAATTCATCATATTTTCGCGGTTGGTTCAATTTTCGCTGTAAAATGAGCCTTTTTGGATTCAAATTTTGCTGTCAAAAAGGGGCCTTTTACTCAAATTACAAAGTGTGAAACATTGCAATAAGTACCAAAACCAGCGTCTTGAAAGCCAAATCCCCAAGTATCCATCAGACAAATGAGATTTTCTGTTGTTAAGCATGGACAGAAACCAAAGCTGTTTTGCGATTATGAAATCTAACATACAATTGCATTAGTGGCAGAAACTATGAGAAATCAATCGATTTAATCTTTGTTGAATCCAGTTAGTTAATGTTCCTAGTAACAGAACCATAGAGCTTGTTCTGTACAAATATTCATCATTTATATACAAGGAAAACCCATTGCTTTTTTTTTTTTTCCCTTTTGGGTTTATCATAAAGAAACAATCAAACAGGGTTAACTTCTTGAGCCAACCATGCTACTAGCCGGACGCCCAGCACTGGAAACAGAGAGACCTCGGTCATACATGCGCTGTATCTCTTCCCTGTACACCGTCAAAGACTCGTCAGGAATGGCTGGTGTTAGCTCCACCACATCACCCATTTTCAGCCTGCACGTAGGATCACTCACTGGCTCACGGTTCAGCCTTGGCCTCAATTCTTCCTTGACAGGAAACCCATATGGAGACCATCTTGAGTTACCCCGCCCAGCTCTTTCCAGCAAATCCATCACTGTTGAGTTTGCAGGAAACTCTTGCACTGACATCTGCAACATTCACGAACCAAAAATATTCAGACCAAACTTCAGATTATATAAAAACTTGGAAGCACTGCTAGATGAACCGTTCTTTCAGTAGTAAAATGAAACCTTCCCAAAGCACAGATGTAGCACAGGGTCAACTACCATGTTTACTTAAAAGCATGGGTTCACTTCACATTTGCCTTCAGTTTGAAAGGAAAGATAAAATTTAGGTATGTGGCGCACGATGACCATGCCAACATTAAAGCAATAAAGCCTCATTTAGGGAACATACCTTATCATTTTCGATCATAATGATGAAGACAGGTCCATCCTGGCAGCAGTGAGGCTTATAAGAAAATGGGCAATCATCTGAATGAGTAGGAAATGTGCAGGGTGGCTTGATGGAATCAGCAGAGCCAATTGAAGATTGGTCCTTGTTCATTGTTTCACAGTGCCAAGTCACCACCCATCGAGCCCACTCAACCATCTGAAGTATAAATGCAGAGTGCTTACAGTCACCCTCTTTGTATCTCCAATGAGCTGCAAATCCAAATTCAGCCTGCAAATGCATCTCCTTTGTCCGAATCTGAACTTCAAGTGGAACTGTGCCTTCGCCCATCACTACCGTGTGCAAGGACTGATACCTGCACATTCAAATTAGAAGGAACTTCAGAATTTTTAGATTTCATCCAAGAACAATACCAAAGCATATAAACTTTAACCTACCCATTAAACTTAGGCTGAGTTATATAATCCTTGAGCTTTCCAGGTACTTCAGACCATAACTGGTGAACTACTCTCAATGCCTCGTAACAGTCTTCCTCATTTTCGACAATGACACGAAGTCCATGAATGTCATGGATTTCATCCATACTCAACTTTTTCCTACAAAAAATAAAATAATGTAAATTTTTTAAGATTAAATAACATGAGAAATACAAGAACTAGTGCCATCATAAAATCATTTAGCTCTCCCATACAGGCAGATAAGAACACATAAATATGTTGCTACAATTAATACACATCAGTACTAACACTTCATTAGATACTGAAACAGATGTCATTAAACATATGACTTACAGACTTACAGGATCATAAACATGGTAAATTTACTGCTTCAAATTACAATTCACTCCCACACTAACATCTACACTATTACAGCCTACTCCTACAAAGTTTGTTTAATCAGTTAGTCAAAAGAAATCTAGAAAGAGGTTTCCAAGAAAACTTGCTTAGTCTTTCTTCTGAAAAAAAGATTACATTTTTAGATAGTTTGGACGTGCACACACCAACATGTGTGTGAGTTTGTGCATGTCAGAGTGAACATAAGTCATGCTTGGAAGCAGGACTGTGTGTGTCCGTGTATACAAGAGCAAGCAAGAAAGAGAGATCTTACTTCAACATCTTTGAATAAATGCTATATAAGCTTTTATGTCGTCCAGAGAGAACATGATATGGAATTTCTTTATCCTTAAGAGCCCTCTCAAGTTTCTCTATAGCAGAAGTAATCATCGCCTCATCAAAGGAGTCCACAAGCCTAGAGGACAGTTCTTTGTGCTGATCTGGATTGAGATGCTTGAAACATAGATTCTCCAGTTGCTCCTTCCAACTAGAAATTCCTAAACGATTGGCCAAAGGTGCAAATATTTCCAAAGTCTCCTTAGCAAATCTCTGTTGCTTGAGAGAAGGCAATGCATCCAGTGTCATCATGTTATGCAATCGATCTGCCAATTTAATAAGAACTGCTCTTGCATCTGCCATGGCAAGAAACATGGTGTGCAGGCGATCTGCCTCAACAGTTTTGCTTGCAGTATTGTTTTCACGTGCTAGCTTACTCAATTGGCTAAGCTTGGAGACCTATGTGAATGCCACAATTAAATAATTAGAAGCTAATAACTCGAAACTTTTATCAAAGGAATGTCAATTGATATAATGCAAGAAAATTACAAGGATCCTATAACAGCCAAGTAGCAGCCATCAATGTGCTGTCCATAATGCTCTAATTTGGGGAAGCTTATACCTAGATTTTTTAACTATGAAAATGAAGTTAAAATTATAACATCTGGGGAATATGTTAATTGAAATACCAAAGACTAAGAACATGTACCACAAAGACTACACAAGAGCCTTGTAATTTCTAATTACAAACTCATCCACGATTATTTATCCACATCAACTAAATTCCCATAAGCTACAGCAATTTTCCCAATTAACTAAATATGACATCAGAAATACTTCATTCATTCGTGCACCATTGGATCATTTTACTAACTGAAGATGCCAAAAATTCCATAATTCTTAAACACTTTTAGATGTTAGGATGATTTTAGATCGGGAGAAAGCTGCGTCAAATGCCAAATTCCAAAGCAAAAGAAACAATCTTAACAGCAACAGCATAGTGTGAGCATAAACATCAAGCAACACAATAAAGAATAGAAATTCATCTCTCTTACCCCTTCAACTAAATCAGCAACCCCGGCACCAAATGTCCTAAAAATATAGTCATAACTCAAAAATGAATCATCGAGGGTGTCATGTAAAAGCCCTGCAGCAACTACCGTGGAGTTAGCACCAATGGATGCCAACAACACAGCAGTTTCAACACAATGTTGCAAATAAGGATCACCACTCGCGCGCATCTACAAGACAAAGAACTTCACCTTAAAACAAAATTTAAACAACAAAAAAAAAAAATCAAAGTTATCATTCATTTCTCTGTTTGTACCTGCCCTCTGTGCGCCTTCTCGGCTTCATAAAATGCCTTTACTACAAAATCTTCACAAAAGATTTCGTGCCTCATTTGCGCACCTAAAAGCAACTCCTTAGCATAAGGATCCGGATTCACTTCATCCGTGAAATTATCCTCCATAGTAAACGGTAATTCATCAACCAAACCACTACTTTGCGCCTCAAAACTCGGGGAATCATAATCAATACAAGACCCTAACGCACTCCTAACGAATCCACTGAACAACCCGTTAGTCCCACCACGTAACGAGCCCTGGAAATTCCCATCAGCACCCTTTTCGCGAAGAATTCTCGTTGGAGGACTGCTGCTACTACACGAAACGGGGCCCTGAAACACCGATACTGGGCTCTGAGAGGTTTTCAAAGAAGAACCACAGAATTTGCTCGATGAATAACAAAATGAACTGCTTAATTCTTTCAATTCTTCCCCCCTGTAGGACCCTAAATCCTCTCCTCCACCGCTAGAAAAGCTTGATTTTACCGAAGGTGAGGAGAAGAGGCATGATAGGCCCCCGACAATGGGTCTCTGGGAAGAAGAGGAAGCCGTTGTTGAGGAAGTTGAAGATGAAGATCTTGAATTCAAGTCGAAATCGTAGGAAGCGTGAGAATTGATGTTGATCTGGTGCGGCGTGGAGCACACGCTACTCGGTGGACTCGCGTAAAGAGCTATTGTTGAAACCGCCATGGCTTACAAAAATCCCAGATCGACTCCACAAAACAAATGGTTTTTATTAATTAAAAATCAAAACCCAGTACTTTCCTCCCGGGAAGCAAAGATTTTCAGAGACCCCAGACAAACCCACTAATTTTCTAGAGAAAATAACAAAGCCCAGAAATTTTCTCAGGACCCAAACAATTTTTTCAATGAAACAATCAATTTTGATTTTTCACTAAAAAACCCAATAAATTTCTCTTAAAAAACAACCCAACAATTTTCTCAGCCCAAGGTTTCTTTCTAATATC